AGACCAAAGAGTGTTGACCACCCTCTCCCCTGCAGCTCCCTAGAGTTCCCCTTGCCCTCCCGCAGAGCTGGGCCTGTCACTTCCCTACTGCCCTTTGTCACCACAGGTCAGCGGAGCCATCTATTCAGGCAGCACCGGGGATCAGATTGGCCACAGAGGCAGCCTTGGTGTGGATGGTGACGGTGGCGCCCTCCTCCATGTCACCCGAACGGGTGCTCACTATATTCTCCTGCCGTGTGGTATGTTGGGTGCCACGTTCTTGGGATGGGCTTCTCTCCTGAAGTGATGCTGGGCAGAACACTGGATTCTGGGCATGCGGAGAAATTGGGTGACTGGCCACCTTGGGGCCACTCCTGTTCATGAGCTGACACCTAGTCAACAATCAGGAAGCCCAAGGGCTGGACCGGGTGTGGTACAACGTGGTTCCAGACGTGGGACTGATGGATGCTCCTGGTCCCCATGGTGACAGTGTCCTTCTGTATTTGGAATAGCAAGTGCCCTCTGCGGCTTCTCTGTGAAGGGTCTCTATGAGAGATTTACTGGGAGAGATGGCCAGTTTAAGGAAGACTCCTACTGGGAAAACCTGCTCAATAGCTCTGCTCACCGGAGGCTTCTGCACAGGTTTGTCTGACACACGGGTCTCAGTTAGGGACAACCTTGTGCGGAGCACAGGACAGCCAGACTGTGGCCTTGCAGTACTGTGAGGTCAGCATCTCTTTGGAAGTGAGAAATGAACAAGCAAAAGCAGAGTAAGAATTGAGAAGGCTGGGGGTGGCTCAGTGAGCGAGTGCTTGGCCAGCACGAATGAGTCCCAGGCTTTCATCCCCCAGTAGTAGAGAAAAATAATGTATGGGGAGATCATCCTTGATCCACAAACAGCATCTCATTTAAACTTTCAGGCTAGGGAACTGAGAAACATGGAGATATACCGGGGCCTGAGGGAAGTAGCCCCAACAGGCCTGTCTTGGTGAGGGGCTCATCTCAAAGACCCATACCCCACCGCCCCCAACTCTCACCACCTCAACTCTTCTTGTCTAGCTCTGGAGCAATCCGCTACCTGATGAATGTCCCCGGGAAAGCTGGCCAGGACGTGCTCCTTGTGAGCTCTGAGGCCTGTATGTTGTTGGATGGACAAGATCTGATGCCCAGGTGGACCCTTGGTTCAACTCAGGTTCTAAGGTATGGCAGTTGCTGCTGAATTTGAGTGGGGATGCACGCCTGCTTAGGACCTCAGCCTGTCCTGCTGGCTGCCAGGGAGGATGGACAGTAGACTGGAAGGCCTGTGTGCTTCCGCTGGAGGCCTCCTGTCTGTCTTTGGAGCTGTCTTTTGTCCCTGGAGGGTCTGCTGAAGCTGCTGGTCACAGGTACCAGCCCCTCATCCTGGGTCCTGATGTGGGTAGCCCCATCCAATCCAGAAGCATGTGGCCATGGAAGTTTCATCTCGGATCCCTGTACCAAGACATTCTGTGAGGTCTTCTTCCTTAATCTTTCCAGAAAACCCATCCTTGGCCACTACAAACCAGACACCTTGGCTGTGGTCATTGAAAATGGAACCAGCATTGATAGGAAGGTAGGCTGGGCTTCCTGTGTGGACTGGGAGACTACCTTGTTCGTGACTGATGGCAGACTGAAAGCGGACAGTGCTGAGCCCCAGACTGCTGTCCTCAGATGGGCAGATGGCACAGAGAGCAGCCTTTGTGGCTGGCATGGCTGAGCTACACATTCCTGTGCAGGCTGAGGCTGTCTGCCAGCAGTGTCCCCTCCCTCCCCAGATCCTACTTTTGGACCTCAGTTCTGGATCTGTGCTGTGGAGCCAGCCCCTCCCAAGCCTGCCTGGGGGCCCACCATCCACAAGCCTGATGACGGCAGACCACCGCTCAGCCTTCTTCTTCTGGGGCCTCCATGAGCTTGTCAGCACCAACGAGATGGTACGTGGTTACATGTTCAGGGAATACCCTTCGTTGGGATCTGGGGCGAGGGGGGCCAGACCCAGATCCCCGGGAAGCTGCCAGGGCCTAGACTACCACAAGTTCACTGAGTGGAGTGCAGAACTGTAGGGAGGGGGTACAGACCAAGCGGGGAGTATCCTGCAGTGCCTTAGGGCTACAGGAGAAGGATCTTGGAGGTTATAGGGAGAGCAGGTGCTGACGAACACCAGGAAGGACCAGGTTCAGGTGGTGGACGCAGGGGCTAACAAGTGTCCATAGAACAGGAGGTAGCTTTCTGGGGGACCCTGGTAGACATCGCTCTAAACAAGGTACTTAGTTAACAGCTTTTGAAGGTAACCTAGGGCTGCCCAGGAAGGGACCAGGAGTTCCAGAGCCCACTGAGATAGAGCTATGGCCCAGGTGTGACAGGTGAGTGAGGCACATTGCTGTTCTCACTTTAGGATCCCCAAGACACGCAGCACAGCCTGTACATGTTCCACCCCACCCTGCCTGGCATCCTGCTGGAGCTAGCCAACGTGTCTGCCAACATCGTGGCCTTCGATGGTGAGCATGGGCTCAGGCACTGGGTCCAGGTCTTCCCCAACCTAGTTCTCTCCGGCTAGCCCTGAGCAGCACTGACTGTCCCCTACAGCGATCCTGTTTGAACCAAGCCGCCATGCTGCCTATGTGCTCCTGACGGGCCCAGCAAGCTCAGACATGCCTGGCCTGGTCTCTGTGATCAAACACAAAGTTCGAGACCTTGTCCCAGGCAGCCGAGTGGTCCACCTGGGTGAAGGCAGCTCAGACAGCGACCAGGCTATCCGGGACCGCTTCTCCCGACTACGGTACCGGAGTGAGTTGTAGGTGGTGGGACCTGGGGCACATGGAAAGACTCCAACTGTGAAAACAAAGCCTCCTGGAAAGCTGGCCTACCCTCAGCCTCCACGCTGACCTCACTGTTGGCCCTGGTGATTCTGGTCCTCTGGGAGCTATGGCCTTACCAGCTATACCCAAGGATATACACCTCCAGTCTCCTGCCTATACCATGTCCTCCGTCAAAGGTCTCACTGTGTGGCCCGTGTGATGTGGTCAAGGCCAGCAGGCCTCCCTGGGCCAGTATGGGCCGAGCCAGTCCTTCAGGAGGCCCCTCCCCCACTTAGTGCCTCCTTTCCCTCTCACTGTCCACTGGGGAAGCCACTGCTGTGGGGTGCCCTGCTCCCTACCCCTGCCTGGGATGTCCGTCCCTCTCCTGGCCCGGCTCTCCCTTTGTCTGCACTGTCTCTCGGGAGTCGTGGAGCTCAGAGGGTGGTGGGCGCTGGGCAGCTTCAGGGCTGCGGCTGGAACCTGAGGCTCTGAAGCTGCTCTCCCAAAGCAGAAGGGAGCATGTCTCCTGGAAAGTGAGCAGCAAGAGTTTGCCAGCAGGAGGGGCCTGCAGTGGAGCCTGTGGGTGCCCTTGAGGGGCCTGTAGAATACACACCGACTCTCTCTTCCCTCAGTACCCTGGACCTGCCGTCTGCACACAAGGCCCTGCACCCCGAGCACAGCAGGCCCGTCCCTTTTCCTACTCTCTGGTGCTTACCTGATGCAGGTCTCACCTTGTGCCTTGTTGCTCCTGAGGCCCAAGGGCAACGGAGCAGCTCTGCCCAGATCCCTAGCTCTGTAGCCAAAGCAATCCCATGACCCTAGCCACCATGAGAAACAACACAATAAATGATTTGCACTGATGGGGGAAAGCCCCAGTAGCCCAGCGTGAGCTTGCAATCTGTCTGGATGTCTCTCTGCCTGCCGTAAACAGGAGTGGGAAGGGCGGGGGGGTGGATGGGTGTTATTCTTAAGTCATTGCCAGGAATGCCAGGGCTCCAAGGCAAGGTTAAGAGGAGAGTTGAGGAGATGAGAGCCTACACAGACCTGCCCGATAGGAAAAGCTTGTAGTCTTCACACAGCCTCTGGGATGATCACCAGGGCAGAGGCCCCTGCTGTCTTGACAGGCATCTCTACCCTAGGATCATGTCCTCTGTGTTCCGTTATGCAGAGCAGTGAAAGGTCAGATGAGCTCTAGCTGTCACTGCACAGAACCTGGAAGGGTTTTAGGCCTTGACCCGAGAGCATCAGTCCTTCTGAGAACCCTTTGGAGTTTGCTAAACATGAACTTGTTCTCATAGCCACACATGTACAAAAATCTCAAGTGTGCACATGCTCGTGCACGAAAGCCTGAGGCATCTACCTGAGGGCTGAGGTTGATGGGTAGGCGTTTTCAAGGCAGAAAGTGGGTCGGTCCCTCAACCCTGAGAAGTAAAGGTAACTCAGCACACACATCCCTCTGAGAAGGAAGGGTAGTTAGTGGAGGGGAAGGGTCTACCTCCAGATTTCAGGAGACTGGCTCTCCACGGCACAGGATGGGGTGCAGGGTCCAAGGGCAGCCACCACTCAGCCAGTCTGGGATGTGCGCCCTACCTGAAGGCCACCTAGTGGCTGCTGAGGACGGTGACCTGTTTATGGTCATTAAGGGACCAGTTGCCCCTCTAGCCTGCCCAAGGTTTCTTAGGGTCCCGGGGCTTGCTTTGGGTCATCCCTCCTGCAGCTGGGCACAGCTGCTCCAGAGGACACCGGGCAGATGGTAGCATCCTGTCTGCTCACAGCTTCTTTGACAAGGTTCTGGCTTTCTGTTGCACTCACACACTCCTGTGTTTCCTCCAAAGACCAAGGCCCTCAGGTCTGTAGGCTGAGGCCACCGAAGGACTGAGAGGACCGGGCCACTCAGCAGCCCAGACAGGACAGGCCCCTCCACAGGACCCACTTAAACAATACATTTGTTTATTTGGGGTAGGGGTGTGCCTGGAAGTCAGAGGACACTTTACCCACTGGATCATCCTTCCGGACCCATGGTGGCTACATGTGACACTCTCGAGCTGCTCCCAGCCTCTTCACACACACACCACCAGACACACCACAGATGCTGCACATCACACTCAACATGCACACACGCCACTCATACTACATGCCACCCATGCATTGTGTCACAGATACTCGAGCCATGGACTTAGGACAAGCTGGACCCACAGGAGAACAGACTAAGTCAGGACCTGAATCTTTTATTTCTGTAGAAATGAGTTGTGAGGAAAGACTGGAGAGCAGCCCGGCTGGGAGCTGCATGGCAGAAGGAGGTGGCACAGAGGACAGCCTGGTTAGGGAAACTGTTCCTTGGCAAAGACCTAAGGGACCTAGGAGCACCACGGTCAGGACAACAGCAGGAATTGCCTTTCTCAGATCTGGTAAGACAGGTGGAAGAGAGGCTGTGTATAGTGGTGAATGTGGTGCCTGCAGATACAGTCTACTGAGAAGCCACGGGGTTTAGCTTCGGCAGAATAAGGGACCTATACAGCGGTGGAGCCATCCTCAATGGGATGGCATGGCCAGAGACCAATATCTCTTGATGTGTCAAAGACTTGATATTCTAGAGATGAGATGACCACCTAGTCCTAACTACAGAGTACGAGGAACTTTGAGGACCTTGATTTTACCTTCCAGGAACAAGTCCTGTCCTGGTAAGGCTTAGTCAATGAAATCTCCTTGCTAGGAATCAGTGGCTGGACCAGTCTCTTCTAAGGGTGTATGTGTGTGTGGGGGGATTTTAGTGGAGACTCAGGGGCCTCATAGCAAGGCTGGGCTCTCTACACAGGAGACACCAGTGCTCGGGGCCCAGTATCCAGGTCAGCATGACTCCACAGGGTGTCAGGCGGGTGATAGTAAGCTGAGGTGACCCGCAAGATCCATCTACTCCTCCCCATCGCCAACTGCAGGGGTGCTGGTTGCTGGAGGCTCCCCAGGGGTAGATTGAAGAGCAGGGCTGGGGCTTGAGTGCAGAGGCTTCCGTAAGAATGGAAATGCCCTAGGGACAAGAAAGTGCTGAGGACCTGGTCTGCTCTCTGCAGGGTCTTCCCTGCTCAGCACATATAGGGCACTGGTATGGCTCACCGGCGCTTGGTCTCCAGCGGGATCACAGCTTCCTCCAGCAGGCCCTTGTATATGTCAGACTTCAGGAACCTCGGGTAGGAGTCCTGCAGGAAACAGTGTCCAGTCTGACCCTTCACTTCCTAGCCAGGTCTAGCCAGGCATTGCTGGGGTCACCTTCTGCTCATAGGCTGGGGACTGAGGGGGGGACGGCCATCCAACACTAGCCCAAACCAAGACCTAGAGAGATCTGGCACCCATCTGGTGGGAGCACCAGACTGTAAAACACGGGCAAGAGGTGCCATGTTCACACACACACAGGGATGAGCCAAGCACCTCTCCAGCCAGGGCTGAGGAGCCAGAGTGCCTCCACCTCTATAGAGGCAGGGCGAGGATGCGGAGCTTTAACTGTACAGCAGACCAGGCGTGATGGTTCGCACCTGTAATCCCAATATTTGGGAGGCAAAGGGAGGAGGAGCATGAGCTCATGGATAGCCTGGGCTACATAGTGAGATTATAAAAATAATCATCCTTCAAAGGGCAGAGCTCGTTAGAAAAATAGAGAAAACCTACAAAAACTCACACTAAGGCCAGGTGTAGTGGCACATGCCTTTAATCCCAGTACTCAGGAGACAGAGGCAGGTGGATCTCTCTGAGTTCAAGGCCAATTTGGTCTACATAGTGAGTTGCAGAACAGCCAGAGCTATATAGAGAGACCCTGTCTCAAAACACACACACACACACACACACACACACACACACACACACACACACACACACACACTCCAAAAAGCAAGAGGCCAACAAGGGCTGGGAAGTCACAGAATGTGACATTAAGATGACCAGGCCAAGAGTGTCAGCTTGAGTCCACGTGGGAGAACTCACAGATCACAGCTAAGGAACATAGGGAGACCCATTCTTAAAAAACAATACCTTTTTTTTGTTGTTGTTTGGCTGGATTTTGTTTTGTTTTGGAGACAGGGTTTCTCTGTGTAGTTCTGGCTATCCTGGAACTCACTCTGTAGACCAGGCTGACCTCAAACTCAGAGATCCTAGAGATCTGCCTGCCTCTGCCTCCCGAGTGCTGGGATAAGAAAAAGACACCAAGCCTGTTTTTTTAGTTGTTGTTGTTTGTTTTTTAGTCTTTGTTTGTTTGCTTGTTTCATTTTTTTGAGGAAACAGTATTTTTTTTTTAATGGTGTGATGATGCATATCTGAAATCCAAGCACTCTGGGGTGGAAACAGGAGGATCAGAAGTTCAAAGTCATCCATAGCAAATTCAAGGCCAGTATGAACTACAGGAGACTGGCTGTAATGACAACAATGATGATGGTCAACTGTTGTGGTTTAAAACTCATTAAATGTGTTGAAATCTATGATTTTTTTCTTTGAGACAGGATCTCACTCTATAGACTAGGCTGGCCTTGAACTCACAGAGATCCACCTGCCTCTGACCCTAGTGCTAGGATTAACGGTTTTCAACACCATGCCCTAAGAAATCCACGAATTTATTATGGTATTAAATAACATCAAGAGGCTGAGGCAGGAGGCTCACCTACAAGTCAAAGGTCAGCCTGGACATTTATACATAGTTAGAGATTTTAGAGTGAGACCCTGACTCAGGCCGGGCGGTGGAGGCGCGATCCAAGCACTCGGGAGGCAGAGCCAGGTGGATCTCTGTGAGTTCGAGGCCAGCCTGGTCTACAGAGTGAGACCCAGGACAGGTACCAAAACAACACAGAGAAATCCTGTCTCAAAAAAACAAACAAACAAAAAATGAGACCTTGACTCAGACAAACTACAAAACCTTGCTAACCACTGAACAAACACTGAGGATCCAGCTAATTGTTTTAAAACTGGTCAGTAGTGTAAAGAATCGAGCTTTGACTCCATCTGTACCACTAGATGACCAGAGGGTACACAAACGGGTCGGGTAGGGAATAGACAGCCCAGTCAAGAGACAGTAGGCAATGGTGGGGTCTGAACACCACCACACTGGTTCACTGAAACCAGGGCCGTGATTGGCGGTGGCTATGCTCACTCCTTACGAAGCCAAATAGACAAAACCCAACAGAACCTAAAGCAGATTAGGGAGGGCTGTGCTGGCGAGGACCCCGGGATGTGCCCACCTTCTTCATGAGCATGTAGATATGCAGCTGGGCTGCGTCGAGGACATAGCGGTGCGGCTGGCGAAGCCCCTCCAGGGTCCACTCCATCGTCCGGCTGTCAATGTTGATCCAGCGGGCAGCTCCAGGGGCTAGGAACTGCCTGGGATACGGATGGTACAGAGTAGGCCTATGTGCTGGGTCTGAGCGATGGCCAACTAGCTTCCACTTCCACACACTTACTGATAGACAGCATCCACCAGCTCAGGGACCTGGGCCTGCCCGCCAAAGCGCAGTTCCTCGCATGCCTCCCAGAAGCTGAGGTTTTCCGCTGAAGACAGGGCAGCAATCAGGCAGGGTTGGTCGTTCGCACTGAGCAGGCTAGAGAAAGCCTGGGACAGGGTCCCAGGCAGTGGCCTCCTCCCTTGGGGGTGCCTATAGGGGCTTCTCACCGCTGAACTCCTTCTGGAGAAAATCCATGAAGTGGCCACGCCCCACGGGGTCATCCAGGAGCTCCCGGAAGCTGAAGCCCCATCGCTCAACACGCAGCTTTGTGGGGGCAGCCACCCTGGAAGGGGAGGGGTGAGTGGGCTGCTGATCCTGCTACCAGGCTGGGAGCGCTGGACAGTGCCACCCCAAACACCCAGGGCTTACGTGGGCGCATTCATGGCCCAGTAGGTGACATCGTCTGTGATCCAAGGGTTGCTGGGCAGGCACCCTGACATGATGGGATCATGCGGGCCATGCTGGCTGCTGAACTTCAGGTACCTGGGGGTTCCAGGGGCCAGTTGCAGGGTAGCCTTAGGGACAAGAGGCTCTATAAAGGGTCTGGGTTGGGAAGGGTCTCGCTGCTCCTCACTCACGCCTCGAGGCAGACAGAGGACTTCACCCGGTTTCTGACCAACGCCTTCCTGAAGCGCTCGATCTAGGACACCAGAGCTGAGTCAGGACCTGTGCTGGGGGATGGGCATCCCTAACCCCCAAGTTTCTAGGACCTACCTCACACTTATAGAAATCCGAGCTCTAGGTCTGGAAGACACAGGTGGCTTGAGTTACAAAGTAGCCTTCTGGGGTTCAGGAATCCCCCTATGCCCCACCTAGGGCTGAGACCTTGCTCCACCAGGATGCAGCAAAGAATGGCTGGGACTTTTGGGCCCAACTTTGGGAGCCCCCAGGGGAGGCCTCTGACGGCCTGTATCTGGAGACTCTGAAGATGTTCTATAACACTCTACAGTTCTCCAGGCTACCTAGAAATTCTTCACTTGCTGCTAACCTGTCATATTGCCCCCTGCTGCTGCATTAGCTAGGGTCTGTTTACCAGGTCCCGCCTTCTCCAGTTTGGATGTTACCAGAGGCTTTGGAGGGAGGTACCTGTGGGCCCAGGGCCCCACACCATAGCCTTGCTTGTCATTATTTCCCCTTCCTGGGTTTCTGGTGCTGTTTCAGCCTGGGGGAAGAGCCTCCCACCCTCCCCCAGGACCACCACTTACTTGCACCCAAGTCGGCAGGTGGAAGAAAAGAGGAGGACAAGAGTTACTAAGGGAGCCTGAGGTGGAGTGCCAGAGGCCCTGAGACCAGGCATGGCGCAAACTAGGGACCTTGGAGTGGCTGCATCAGGTACATTTAGGAGGATCAAAGGACAGATGGATGGATGAGCAGTCCAATGAACTCTGAAGTGCGGTGAGTGGAAGGGCACGTGTTAACGCCGCAGGCAGTGGGGGTGCTGGGGCGGAAAATGAGGTGCTTACCATCTGTAGTCGACTGGAGTTGTAAGAGCCTTTCTCAGGACCCTGCTCCAGAATGTTAGGTGCCCCAGGCTACAGAAAGATGATGAGATGAAGTGCTAAGCCCTGTACCCCCGACGGACTTCAATACCCTTTACTCTTTGGTGTGGGAACTGAGTCTAGACCTGGCCTTGAACTCCATCTCTCTACCCACCCTGACTCAGGGTGGTCCCCTCAGATAGTAATCAGACCTTGAGCCATGTGCTAGGGCCTCAGTTTCCCAGGCGCTGCCCCCTGAAACCCAGCCCCTGTGCTGTAGCTGGCTCAGCCCCCATCTTGCCTCCTGAGACCCTCAGGTCCTGCCTTAGCTCTTGTGTGTCTTCCATACACATAGTGCAGCTGGCTTGTTCTGTGGTCTGGGACTAGAGGCAGCCTCAGGCCTGACCATGTCACCTATGCATTCTCTCTCTCTCTCTCTTTTTTTTTCTTTGGAGCTGAGGATCGAACTCAGGGCCTTGTGCTTGCTAGGCAAGCACTCTACCACTGAGCTAAATCCCCAACCCCAACCTATGCATTCTCAACAAAGAAACAAAACCAACTTCCTGTCACCCACCCAGACCCTGAAATGCACCATATCCTTAAGCAGGCCGTTTTGAGAGAGTCTTTTAGCAACACACACAGACCCCTTTTGACAGCCAGGGAGCCCCCTCTGCCCTCACCACCCGAGGACTCACAGGGGGCTTGTTCACCAGCCAGTATGTCTGCTCCTGACACGAAATGACCAGCCTGTCTCCCTTCCGGCGCTGCTTAGCTGCCCTGGGAGGAGCAGGCAGAGGTGAGAGGAAGCTGGCACTACCGCAGCACTCCCCACACTTGGCCGTGGGCAGGCCTGTGATGGGATGTTCTTGGCCTCAGGGATGCCGGTGCCCAGCTCGCCATCATCCCGAGCATCCCGAGCATCCCGAGCATCCCGAGCATCCTCGGTGTCCCACCAGCTGTGGTCTGTGTCTCACCGCAGCTGCTCTCGAGCCTGCATCACTACTAGATCCCATGCATGGTTGATCTTCTTGTGCAGCTGGGCATAATGTTCCTGGAAGGCAGTAGGGTATCCGGTGGGTAAAGTGGGTGACCCCCCCACACCGGCCTAGCTCTGGAACATGGACCCCAGCTCCCAGGGACACTGCAGGGAGTTAATGGTGTGTGTGTGTGTGTGTGTGTGTGTGTGTGTGTGTGTGTGTGTGTCCACCTGGTACAGAAACGAGCTCACCCCATGAGATCCTAAACGGGCTGCTTCCCCTTCTGGGAACCCTAAGCCTCCATTGGAGGTATGGTGGCCTTCTCAGTGAGACTGCAGGGCTGAGTAGGGGTGCTTGTTATCTAGCGGTCTAAACTTAGCCTGATGGAGGTCCCACCTTCTCATAGTCCACCAGGGCCCCTTGTTTCTGGATGTTCTTCTTAGCCAGGTAGATGGCTGGAAGGATAGGAGCATAGCGCAGAGGGGCCATCAGTGTCCAAACCCTATGGCATTCATTGCCCTGGAACCACCAGTTCCCAGACCGGATTTATATCCATCCCACTCACCATAGTCCAGCTCAGCAGCTGGCCACAGAGTGCTTGTCCAGAAGTAGGGTGTCTTGTGTTGTGCAGGGAAAATGAAGTCCAAGACCTTCTCATCTCTCTCCCAGGTACCCCGCACCCCCCACCATCTGGCTCCTAACTATGGTTGGTCAGAGGGTGCATCCTTATCTGGAAGCTCCAGCTGACCACTGCCCATTCTTTCTACCTGGAACTGAGGCCAGATTGTCACTTGGGGTCCTATAAAGGGACTACTTCCCTGACTCTGATTGCCTCCCCAGCTGACTGGGGAAGAAGTGGAGCCTGATAATCCAAGGATGTGGTCACAGTCTGAGCTTGGGGTGGCCTGGACTCACATTGAGGTGCAGGGCTCCTATCACCACACCCAGCAGATAATCTTTCAGGCTGGGACCTGCTGCTGGACTCCTCCTGAATGCTCCGCACATTGCCCTTTGCATGTCAGCTGCAGCCCCAGAGAGCTGAAGCTCCCTTGGCTTGCCTCTGTCCAGATCTTTTGCGGGAGGGTGCGGGTGCGGGTCCGGTCCAGTGTTTCACAACATCCCGCTCGGACCCCAGTTACCTCCATCCCTCCCCCGGTAAGGGTGCACCCTGCTACCCTGGGGCCTGCCTGACCTGGAACCTGTAGGGCGTCTCATCTGGCCGGAGCGTCAAGTCTCGGGACTCACGCAGCGGGTAGATGTAGCCGTGCTTCGCCAGGAGTGTGCCCAGGTGCAGGGCCTCTGAGGAGAACGAAAAGTGAGCGCTTTTCTAGCGCCCACCCCCGCCCCAAGCCACCTTGCGCCTTGACTCTCACCCTCCTCCGAGATGCAGAACTTCTGGACCAGCCATTCCACGAGGTCTCTGCCTGCACGGGAGAGGCGAAGTGGGCGGAGACCGCGGCGCCCTGCTCCCCCAGGGTGTCCACGAGCCTCACCCGCTACTGCGTGGGGAATGACGGTGATCAAAAGGCGCTGGCTCCTCATCTTCACGCCCTGGTCGGGGTCCTGCATACTCACGACCACCCGTTCCATCTGAGAGCGAGCGCAGGAGGTGGGGGAGCAACTCAGATCGTGCGCACTTGCCCGCAGGTTCCCCAGGCCACCGCGCGGGGATAACAAACTGGGGCAGCAAAGGCCCGGACTAGGGCCACCCAGTGCTGTCATTCTGAACTCCCGATGCTTTCCGGGGTCTCCCCAGTGCTGTTCACGCCCCTCACCTGCCGCGTTCCACGCCCCTTCTCCTGTCCAAACCCTATGCCCACAGGCCGAGGACCCACCTTGCTGAGATGTGGCCTCTGCGTGCGGGAGCACCCGCCGTGGGGTGTGCAGCCCGCAGCCGTGGCCATGGCGGATGTCCGAGAGGAGACGCCCCGCCCCTTGCCGGCCCCTCCCGCCAAGGTTAACCGTGTGAGCACAGGTTCCTGCACGACCAAGTCACCGGAGCTGTGACTTGTGATAGCCTGCCGTGGGGGCAGCCTGAAACCTCAGATGCCTGCCAAGCAGAGGAGCCTGCCTTGGTATGGTGGCTACCTACCTCGGGGCTTGGTCTTGGAGATGGGACATGTCACCAAAGCTCTGGAAAAGGACAGGTTTTCTTCAGGGTGGAGACAGTAAGAAAGGATGAAGTCTAGAAGGGATGGAGGACTCCAGCAGAGGAGCCTGTGGCCAGGTGGACCGGGTTGGGAAGAGTGGTGCAGGGTCTTGGTAGCCACTACTCCATCCATGGGCCCTTAAGGAGTGCAGGGGCCAGCAGAGTCAGGGATGTGGGGTCAAGGCTGTAGTCTGGCTGGCCCAAGAGTATCTTTTCAAACATGTGGCACCATGTACGGCCTGTGTGGAGCCATAGGATGGTATGATATAGCCCTCACTGGCAGGGTTACTGACCATTTATAAAAGGCATGACTGGGTCGTGTCTTCTTTCCTGAGGATAGGGTACCCTCTTTCTCTTCCCCACCCAAGGAATGCTGGGAGCCAAAGGAGGGAGAACTGGCCTTACTGTGAGACCAGGAACCTTCAACATGCTATTTGAGTTGATTCCAATGGATCAGGGGGGTGGAGGGGTGTCCTGGCTAGATATGTTACATCACCGGTAGATCCCAACCTTCTCCTGCCCCCTACTTCACCGACACACAAGGCCAGGCTGACCAAAGGCCATCCGTCCTCCCTGGATGAGTAGGCAGAGATGGAGGTTTCAGGCTGCTGGCAGCTGAAGCTATCCCCAGCTAAGGACAAGTAATTTCCGTACCTAACACTACACACTTCCTGCAGGGCAGGGGTGGGTCTCCCTGGCTTCCTGGGCCTCCTTGTAGGGTCTTGCTTTGGAAAGGTAATGGGGCAGTGTGGCCACTAGCCCAATGCCTCCGCCTTAACGGTCACCTGCTACTCAGAAAAGCAAAGGTGGATATGATCCCTGGTTATTCCCAGAAAAGAAAGACACTGCGCTGCACAACTTCCTTACTCAGATCCAGGCCTTCCGGTCCTGCTGTCCTCAGTTGAAAGCCCACCCAGCTCACCAGCCACCTGCCCTGACTAACCAACATCCCCTCCCATCCCTAGGTCTCCTTTGGATGTCAAGATTAAGAAATTTCTCAGAGCCCACTTTCTGTTTCTTCAGTTATCTTTTCTTTGCCCAGTCATAGGAACCTGCAGAATTGTCTGGGTCCCAGGTCCCCCCAGACACATTCCCCCCAACCCCACATTCAGTCTGCACCAGTAAGCTTAAAGGGATCCTGAGTCTGTATGGCCCAGACTGCACTTCAGTGTGTGGGTGCCCAGAACCAACAGGGTGTGGCCCAGCTGGAGGCTGATAGGCCCCAGGAGTCCCCTTTGCCCAGACAAGAAGGAGGGAGCAGGTGGAGGGTTGCGGGGCTCCAGGTGTGCCCTGCGCCGCCTGCTGATAATGGGAGTCCAGGGACGTGGGGGTGTCGCACCTGTTCCACTTGGCGTCCCTGGCCAGCACGCCCCGCCTAGGAGATCCCGGGGGACCCGACTCCCCGTGGGGGTGGGGCGGCCCTGGGTCCCTGGCGACGCGTCCCGGCGCGGGGCGCGGCAGGGACGACGGGGTTCCGGCGCGGTGCGGACGACACGCGCGTCTCTGCGGGCTGCGCGGGGTCCGCGGAGCGGCTGGGGGCGCGCGGCGCGGGCGCGGCGCTGGGCGCGGGGGGCGCTCCCGGCCGGGATGAGCTCACCGCAGTCGCGCCGGGGCTGAGCCGAGCGGGCGGCGGCTCCGCGGCGGGCCGCGGCTACCATGCTGGGCCTGGACGCGTGCGAGCTGGGGGCGCAGCTGCTGGAGCTGCTCCGGCTGGCGCTGTGCGCCCGAGGTGAGTGGCCCGGCCGGGAGGCGGCCACGTGCGCCGGGGGGCAGCAAGGGAGCGGCGCGGTTGGGGGTCAGTCCCCGCGGCAACTTTGGGGGCTCGTGGGGACCTCGTGGCGTGGATTCTGGCCGGGCGTGGGACTTCAGTCCACGCAGACCCTTCTGGGGAAGGGAGCCAGGAGGAAAGGAGTGTGTCCAGCCTGAAGGCTGCGGCCTCTCCCGTAGGTGGGGCTGGGGCTCCTTCCGGTGAGAGGCAATCCTAAGGTTGGAGGGCAGTGGGCAGCATCTCAGTGAGACCTCTGGCCAAGACACCCAAAGGGGCTATGGAGACCCCTAGTTCAGGGCAGCACCGGAGGGGCCTAGGACATTATGGGAAGAGCACAGAGCTGGGGAGCCCCTGGAGTACCCCATGGCCACTACTCTTAAGCAGTGGCCTGTAAGCTGACCAGAAACAAACTGGTCTCCTAGGGTCTCTTAGGAATCTCTTTTAGTCACCAGAGCCCCTCCTGAAGAGACCAAGCCTAGGGACTTCTAGGGACTTAGGGGCCACTGTGTGTCCGTGACAGCTCCTCGGCTTTCTTTAGCTCCACTGGGCAGTGGGAGGCACAACTGGTTGAGAGTGTGGGTCCCAGCTCAGCACTTGAATGCCAGGGTCAGCAGGTGGCAGGTGCTTACACACCTTCCCCGACTCCCAGTCCTCTTGGCTGACAAGGAGGGGGAGCCAATCCCATCAGATGAAGTGCTGGACGAAACTGTGCCAGAGTACCAGGCCCCTGGGAAGAAGAGCATGCTGGCAATCTGGCAGCTGGACCCTGAGGACGTGAGCCTGGTCAAGTACAAGCAGGCGCTGCTGGGGCCCCTGCCACTCATTATGGGTACGGCCTGGGGCCTGGATGTGGAGGGCTGCAAGCAGGGGGAGGGGAAGATGGGGTCAGCATGGCACCCTGTGGATGCTGTTTCTCCTCAGACCCCAGCCTGCCCAACGTGCAGGTGACTAGGCTGACACTGCTGTCGGATCAGGCTCCAGGGCCTATCATCATGGACCTTACAGGTAACCCACCCCCTCTGCAGAGCACAGCCCTTCTTTGGATGAGGACAGTCCTAGGACCCCGTGCCGAATCCTAGTTCCTTGGGTGCATTGCCCCAGACTTCATGGGCACCACCAGTCCCTGCAGAGATATTCCTGGGGCAGGGTCTTGTACATCCTGGAAATTTAGAGTGCACCTGTCCTTCCTCTAACAGGAGACCTGGCTGCACTGAAAAATCAGGTGTTTGTCCTGAAGGAGGGCATTGAATACAAGGTGAAGATCACCTTCAAGGTGAGGGTAGCTGCAGGAGGGGGCCAGCCATGTCCCAGCCTTCCAGAGAAGGCCCTTAACATTCTCCTTCTCCCAGGTCAACAAGGAGATTGTCAGTGGCCTCAAATGTCTGCATCACACCTATCGTCGGGGACTACGTGGTGAGATGGTGTGGAGGGCAGCCTGGGGCTGGGAGGGGAGGGCGGAGGGGTGGTTCCTGATGACCTTCCTTCCCACAGTGGACAAGGCCATCTTCATGGTGGGCAGCTATGGCCCCAGGGCCCAGGAGTATGAGTTTGTGACGACAGTGGAGGAAGCACCAAGGGGCGCATTGGCACGTGGCCTCTACGTGGTCAGGTCCCTCTTCACTGATGATGACAGGCTTGACCACCTGTCCTGGGAGTGGTGCCTCCATGTCTGCCAGGACTGGAAGGACTGAACCTACTTGGGGCCTGTGTTCCCAGTTTCTGTCAGTTGCAGAAGGACCTGCAAGCATTCCCCAGACCTCCCCAGTTGGTGACCTGATGTCCCCCACTCTGCTGTGTCCTGCCTCCCTGCCTGGTGCCCATTAAATGTTACCCTGTCTCGCTGCCCTGTGTTGCCTCTTTCTGCCTATCTCCGCCCCCGAGGGGCCTTTCAGGCTTTATCTTCCCCGAGACCCAGCCAGGTGCCACGTGGCTGTTGCTGCTTGGTCCCCGATCCCTTTATCTACTCCAGCCTTCAGGGCCCAGCACGCCATGGATGATCTGCTGCTGCCAGTGTTGCTGCTCCTGCTGGGTTTCTCAGGTCCCTGGGGACAAGGACAGGAGCCTGAGGGTCCCTCAGAGGCACTCCCCGAGGAGTCCCCTGGGGAAGAAGTCCCCAAGGAGGATGGGATCTTGGTCCTGAGCCACCGCAACCTGAGCCTGGCACTCCAGGAGCATCCAGCCCTGATGGTGGAGTTTTGTGAGTGCTTGGACCAGCAGTTTGGGGACCATGGTGATAGCCTGTGGGTTGAGGCGTCTACCTCCTAGACTTGGCCTTCTTGTGGGCACCCTGTGTCCCTGAGAGGGTACCTGGACAGGAGGCCCTGATGTTGAGCTGGGCTTGGTAGTGGTCTAGTCTGAGTGGGAAGGAGTGGTAGCTGGAAGACATGTGGATGCCCATAACCCCCCTGCTGTCAACATGGCCACATGCTGATGTTACTACCTTTGGGGCCTCTGTTCCAAACAGCTGGTCACTGGTTCTTCTGTGAAGGCAGTGTCCAGGTTGGGTGGCCCATGCAGCGTCCCATGACATATGTGTCTGTGATTCCTTACAACCCTTTACAAATGTCAAGGCCATTCTTAGCTGGTAGGCTTCGGAAAGCAGCTATATGTGGCCCTGGAGTGAGGAAGCAGGATTCTTTCCAAACTCTCTCAAACCTGACTGTGTCTGGGCTCTAAGAGTTGTCTGGGGTCTGGTACCCAGGTGTGGTTGTGATCAATGCCTAGGGTGGTCCTGAAGGAGGATGTGAACAGAACATGTTTCCTGTTGGACCTGGGCTGCAGCTGGGGTTGTTGAGGACTGGTGCACTCACAGCCTCATCCCCCAGATGCCCCATGGTGTGGTCACTGCAAGGCACTAGCTCCTGAGTACAGCAAGGCGGCTGCCCTGCTGGCAGCTGAGTCAGCTGCGGTCACCTTGGCCAAGGTGGATGGACCTGCAGAACCAGAGCTGACCAAGGAGTTTGGCGTGGTAGGGTACCCTACGCTCAAGTTCTTCCAGAATGGGAACCGCACAGACCCTGAAGAATATGTAGGTATGAGGTGGGTAGGGCTGGGGGTGGGCAAGCGCACAGGTGTGGAGTGGGTGGGGCCTAGGGATGGGGCAGGAATCCAGTCTATTTGAAATAGAGACATCTCTGCAGGGCCCAAGAAGGCTGAGGACATTGCTGAGTGGCTGAGGCGGCGAGTGGGGTCCAGTGCCACACGCCTGGAAGATGAGGAAGGTGTCCAGGCACTGATAGCCAAACAGGATGTGGTGGTCATTGGTTTCTTTCAGGTAAACTGGGGGGGGGGGGGGGTGGTAGACAGGCTGTGGGAACAGTACTGGTGGCACCCATCATTCTCAGGGGGCTGGGTCTGTAGGACCTACAGGCAGAGGATGTGGCCACCTTCCTGGCCTTAGCGAAGGATGCCCTGGACATAACCTTTGGCGTCACTGACCAGCCACAGCTCTTTCAGAAGTTTGGCCTCACCAAGGATACTGTGGTCCTTTTCAAGAAGGTAGGTTGGGGTTAAGGACAGGGTTGGGGTCAGGGCCATAGCTCCTGCTAACTTTGCTGGTGTCCAGTTTGATGAGGGTCGGGCCGACTTCCCGGTAGACAAGGACACTGGCCTGGACCTGGGGGACCTGTCCCGCTTCCTCATCACACATAGCATGCACCTGGTCACAGAGTTCAACATCCAGGCAAGTAAAGCTACAGGTCACAGTGAGGTAGGGTGGAGGGACCCTCAGACGTGGGAGGCTTGGTTGGGGTTGAGGGACCTTGGGCTGGGGGCCCTCGAACAGAGGCCCAGTGGAAGTCATGGGTTTCCTATCCCTCCAGACATCACCTAAGATCTTTGCAGCCAAGATCCTCAACCACCTGCTGCTGTTTGTGAACCAGACACGAGCTCAGCACCGGGAGCTGCTAACAGACTTCAGGGAGGCAGCTCCCCCATTCCGGGGGCAGGTACTGGGGGGCCCCAGGGAGAGGAGTGGTAGGGCTAAGGGAGACCCCAACTTGGTATGACTTTTGGTAGGTGTTGTTCGTGATGGTGGATGTGGCCGTTGACAATGGCCATGTGCTGAAGTATTTTGGGCTCAAGGCTGAGGAAGCCCCAACCCTGCGCCTGATCAATATTGAGACCACCAAGAAGTATGCACCCACAGATGTGGCGCCCATCACTGCCGCTTCTGTGGCTGCCTTCTGCCAGGCAGTCCTCCATGGGGAAGTCAAGGTCTGTGGTTCTTAGAGGGAGGAAGGAGCAGCAGTCCTAGGACCCTGGCCCTACACAGGACCCCAGTGAACGACTGCTTGCTTCTCCAGCCCTACCTCCTGAGCCAGGAGATACCCCCCGACTGGGACCAGCGACCAGTCAAGACTCTCGTGGGCAAGAATTTTGAACAGGTGGCTTTTGATGAAACCAAGAATGTGTTTGTCAAGTTCTGTGAGTGCTGAAGAGGGGAAGGTGGCAGGCTGCTGGTGGTGGGTGGTGGTGGGATGTCAGCTAGCCAAGCCTGATTCCTCCCCCAGATGCCCCATGGTGCAGCCACTGCAAGGAGATGGCTCCAGCCTGGGAGGCGCTGGCAGACAAGTACAGGGATCGTGAGGACATTGTCATTGCCGAGTTGGATGCTACAGCTAATGAGCTGGAGGCCTTCTCTGTGCATGGCTATCCCACCCTCAAGTTCTTCCCTGCGGGGCCAGACCGGAAGGTGAAGGAATGGATGGGGTAGGGAGTGTACTACTGCTCCAAAGCTGGCTTGGCTAGTATCACGCTGTGGCCGGGGAGCATGCCCTCAGGTCCTTCTCTTTCTCCTCAGGTGATAGAATACAAAAGCACCAGGGACCTAGAGACATTCTCCAAGTTCCTGGACAGTGGAGGTGACCTGCCTGAGGAGCCCAAGGAGCCTACAGTCTCCATCCCAGTGGTACTCCATTCAGGATACTAGCCCCTCAGTAGGTTCTCTCCCAGCAAAGTGGGCAGAGGCAGGTCTGAGCTGGGCTTCTGTGATCCTTTCTAGGAAATAAAAGCCAATTCCACCATGGGGTCCAAGGAGGAGCTGTAGCCATTTGGACACTGCATTCCAGGGAGTGGTGTCCTCAGTTGCTGGAAGGAGACATGCGCTATGAATAAAAATGTTTTCCCAGACTCTGTGTGGTTCATGAGCAGGGCTGGCTGCTGGTCTGCCTAGCTTAGCCCCTGGTACTTGCCTCTAACTCAGCACCTTATGGGGCCTGACCTTTCTCTTGTGATCCTGACTTTGGGGCTTGCCTGGGCAAGAATGGGTAACACGTACAGAGGCCAGCTTGCCTCCTTCACTGCTTGGCTGGAGGGCAGCGGATAGTATATCACACACCCAAGGCAGGTTCAAAAACTGTTTTATTTCATTATTATCCAAGTACCTTTGAAAAGATAATTGTACAAGTCATCGCATGAAAAATGGGCTCAGGGTACCCCCTGCTGGCCCTGGCCTGAGAAATATACATATTTACATGGACACTTAGAAGGGACCAGACCCCCCACCACCCTGCTGAACCAAGCTGGTGGCTGGAGACAGGCAAAGGGGCCTGAGGTACTCAGCCGCCAGATTCACACAGTGGCAGGCAAGAGACAGCTATGTTGAAGGCACTCGGTGTGACATGTACAATAGACAGAGGCCCCCACAGGATCCCCTGCTCCTGGGCCTGAGCCCAACCAGGTGCAGTAGATAGGTCCCAGAGGGAGAAGAGGACACTGGGATACAAGCCCAGGTAAAGGTATCCCTGGGTCAGTCGGCATTCAAAAGCAAGAGCTGCTGAGGGTCATGAGATGGCTCCTGGTATTGCTTCAGGGGGTAATGTGGGGGTAGGTAGGGCTTTCCTTTTGAAAAGCAAAACAGAGAAACCCATGGAACCACTCAGTAGGAACCCCCCTCCTTTCCCAGACACAGAGGGACAGAGGTATGGCAGACACCTGAGCCCTCCCCCCCACAAGAGCTTGTGACACAATCCTATGCTGTTGCCCACATCAGGCTCCCGAGGACAAGGCTGCCCACTGGCTGATGCCTGTGCACCTTATGATAGTGCACTCTGAGGGTGCTGCCCAGTGCTCAGTCCACCTTTTCCACCTTGCCAATGATCTTCTCTTCAAAGACAGGCAAGACTGCCTCGTCCTCCCGCACTTCTTCAAAGACCACACCACAGTCAAACTCGTCACTCACTTTCTTAAAGTAGTATCTAGGGAGAGAAAATTGTAGAGACAGTGAGAAAAGCCATCTCCAGGAGAGGAATGCCTGTCCTGGAACCCCTGGAAGTCCTACCACCCTGCAGGGCAGGCTTGCCCCAGCCAGTGAGCCAGGATCCTGGCTGGTGCCTGCTGGGCAGCAGCCATACTTGGGGTAGAGCTGGGAGCACTGAAAGGGCTGAGTTAATATTAATAGTATGTTGAGAATCGCTACAAAGCCCCTGAGAGCTCCAATTCTGGCTTCTGGTAGGTGTGGAGGTTGCTGATAGGCTTCTGACACCAGTAGAGTTGACAGGCTTTCATGTCACTCAGGTATCAGTAATCTTCCTAGTGGAGTTTTTGAGTTGGTTGACATGAATGGAGAGAGAAGTCTCAGCCTAGAACAGAGGGCTAGTCCAGCTTTGGGTCCTGATGCCACCCAATCCTGATGTACCCCAAATAGAGCAGTAAGCAGCATCCATGGCTGAGAGAAGTGGGGTGAAGGGGCAGAGAAAAGACCAGTGGGGCAGACAACTTTCCTTCTACACTAAACCAAGAGCATGCTGGACAAGTACGCCCGAGGGCTGCAGCTTCTCTCACCTGTAGCTCCCCTTCTTGGTTAGCAGCTCCTTGAACTGGCCCAGGGTGACAGCACGGCCCCTCACCAGGGTCCGGTAGGGGATGGGTTCCCCACAGAAGTAGTAGGCCACAACAATGCTGTCACATGGTGGTGCACTCCCGCCACCTGCTTTTCTCTGTGATTTTGTCCTGGGACAGAAACAGAGTGGTAATTAGTGGGCCCGGGCCAAGGTCACACAGAGCACCTCATAGGTACCATCTACCAACAGAGGACAAGACATCCCAGGGTCAGTTCCTCACTCAGCAATGTGGTATTCAAAGGCCCTACCACCCACCTACCAGAAATCTGGGTACCAGTTCTGTGTGAACCACTCACTAGGAAATGAGCGACAGGTCTATCTCTAAGAGAAGCACTTTCCTCCAGACCATGCAAAGTGGGCACAGACACCCACAATGACCAGGCTAGGCCCTCGGCTCACAAAGTCCAATCTCCAAGGCTGTAAGGGGGGGGGTGGTCTCTAGATCCTGACAAGTCCCAACCTCTCCAAACTTCCATAAGTCTCGAGGATGGACCAATCAGAGCTGCATGATCTGGAAAGGAAGTGTTCCTAGGACCAGGCTGGCCAGAATCTCCAAAGCAGACTAGAGGCCTGAGCTGTTTCTTGCCCAGGTCCTCAGGGTGCTGTGTAGCTGCTCTGAGTCTGCTCCTGTGTTCCTGTACCTTTCAATCACCCCAGAAGCTTCAATAGCTGACCTCGGCCATAGCCACATGGGTGCTTTTCCTTGGTGGAGTAAGATACATGGGCCACTCTCTGGCTGTGTGATTGTCCAGGTTCTTGGACCTTCTAGCAATGGGCTTTCGAAGCTCTCTAGGGTTTGAACCTACGGAGACCTACTTCTCCAGAACAACTGGAGGGCCATCTGCAGAGGCCCCAGGCTCAGGATACCCTCTCTTATGACCTGGGTATAATGGAGCTTGCGCTGGGTCAGCAGCAAGGTCCAAGGGGGATCCTCATCTTTCTGTCTTGAGTAAAAGCACAGGAAGGGCACAGTCAGAAATGTCCCTGACCTACATGTGGTTGTGGCAGGGGGAGGTGCAGAGACCAAGTTCTGGCTGTAGTCACACCAACCAGATCCTACTATAAAGTTGGCTCAAGCTCCTGCTGCTATTTCAAGGGGACTAAGACTGTGGACCTGACCCTGTGTAGAATGGTGGTAGACCCACCAGTCCCCAGACCTAGCTCAGCAGCTCAGGAGAGCAAAGACAAAATGAAAGGCAAGCTGTGGTGCCTGGATGGACCCCACTCAGACCTAGTGATCATGTCACTACACTGAACAGGCATGATCTCTACTGGGAGACAGCAGGAAGAAGCCCCAGCAGGCCTTTCTCCAGCCCGATGCTTCCTGGCTCAGTGACAAAGCCTATCAAAACAGGTGCTCCACTTTGGGATTTGGCCTGAGCTGGGATGGGCAGAACCAGGAGGACCCACAGGGCGCACGTACTCTGTCTCGGAGAGTTCCAAGTCCGACACGGCTGGTACCACACTCAGCACCGGTGCACATGCTGGCCTGACACAGGTGCGTCCCCGCTGCATGACTGCCTGCACATACCTAGGGAACAACCCGCATCAGGGAGGATGGGGCTCAGCCAGTGTTGTGGACAGTGTGCACAGACAGGGTGAGCAGCAGGAACCAGCTGCCAATAACTCCCACTCACAGATCATCAGAGGCCCTGCCCTGAGTGTCTAGACACGGTGTCAATGCCAGTCTGGTCTGTTCTCTGGAGTACACTCTAGAGAACTGCTGGTCTCAGTGCTATGGGTTCTCTTCACCCCCTGCTCAGATGTCTTCTCCAGGCTAGAGGTTCTTGGAGAGGGCCTGCCAGGACATCTCCCAGGGATGTGGCTCTTTCTACACAGATTCATCATGAACTTCCGGAAGATGATGTGGATATCAGACATGGACAGGAGCAGTGGTTCTGTCATACTGTACCTTGGGGAGCTGTTGTTGCCATGCCTGAGGCATGTTCCAGGATCTCCGCAAAGCAGAGCCTTTCCAAGCAAATCCTCTACCTGGGTATGCCACTATGGGTCCCTGATAGTAACTTTATTCTGGTCTACCTTAACAGGGCCTGCCAAAGCCTGAGGCTTTCACCCCATACAGCTATACTTGTTCATAAAGTTCCAGAAATAGCCTCAATACATTTAATTTCCTCACACATGAAGACTTTGGAGACACCAGCTAAGACCTGATATGTGTATGTGTGTGTAGTGATGGTGTTCTCATATCCCCAAACAGAAACCAGAGGGGTTTAGCTGATGCGACTACTGGCCAGGAGAAAACCACAGCTGTTGCCATCACATGGTGAAAATCACAGCTGTTGCCATCAGGTGGGGTTTGCCGGGTAATGGTAGGATGAATAGATGCAACCTCTGTGTCACAAGAGAATCCTAACTCACAAAGTACCCTACTCTACAAGAAAATCCTGCCTCCTAGGAACACTTTGCTTCTGAGGGCACCCTGCCCAGACCAGTGAGGGCATCAGTCCTAGTAGATCCCAAATGACATCCTGCTCCACTTCCTCAGACCCTTGCCAGATTCATGCAATATTTCAGCACCAGGAGGAACACTTCCTACACAGAACAGGCAGCACAAGCACATAACACAGCTTACAGCAGGTGGCAAAGTGGTTCTTTGTGTTCCACGTAGCTGTAACTTGTTTTGGAACCAAAGGTAGTATAGGCTCAGAGCCTGGTACGGGTCCGAGGAGACTTTCAGGGACCAGGGACATGTCTAAGCTTCCAGGGCAACTACTGCTTGATCCTGTTAAAGACCATAAGTGCAGAGTCTGCCAGTCATGAGTTGTAGCATCCTAGGGAAACAGGACCCTCAGAAGTGAGGTCAAACCCCAGAATCTACACAACCCAAGCTGAATAAAGGAGCTGATAGTTTCAAAGGGCAATAGTGGCCTTTGTGTGACCATGGTTCCAGGGACTGGGTAAGAAACAGATCCTAAGCCCTCATGGAGACTATTACCCATCTGGGAATTCCAATAAGCCAGAATGTCCAGGCCACTGATTCAAAGCCAAATTGAAAGGGTCAGAGAAGGCATGTTCTGGCTCCAAGAATACTGCTACCCAAAGAGAAATCTCCTGAGTTTGGGCAGAACATACTCCCCAAAGGGACAGAATAGGCTTGCTGAACTGTGGTGGTGAAGGGGCTGATGTTGATGTTCTTGAGATTGAGGAAGACAGGGAGAGAGATTGGAACCATGGTCCCTCCAGACAAGTCCTGTAACTGCCTGTGCTTTGGAGTTGTCTATCATCTCCCTGTGGCCGTGCTTTGTGTGGCTGTCATCAGAGATGGTCTAGATACCCACCACTTTGCCGGGCATGCCCAAAAGCTGTTAGCCATCTGACTATGTGCAGGTGAGAACATTCACCTCATAGCCCTCTGTCCTGCAGCAGGGCTACCTCTGTGGTTCTCAGTGGAGAAGCAGCCCAGGATGGCTGTCTTCCCACAAGGGCCTTCTTCAGGCCTTAGAGACATGTAAGGTCACCTATACCAATGAGCCTACCTCTGCTTGGAGGGCAACTTGTTGGCTCTCTTCTCCTCTTCCTCTAAACGCCTGCGGGCTTCTTCCAGCTGGGTCAGAGGGTTAGGGGCTGGATTGGGAGGCATTGTGGGATCTTGGATGAAAAGATGAGAAGGCTGGACAGAGTTCCGGAGCTGAGCACTGACCCAGGGGTGCACAGCCCCAGGACGCTCAATAGACAAGGGCCTGGAGCTCTCATGGGCCTGCTGCTTCCTCATCCCAGAAGACCTTGTGGAACAAAGACAAGTGACTCCATGAGTAGTGGAAGCAACCAAGTGTGAACGCACCCAACTACAGGAGTCATGCGGGCCTCTCTGCTCCCACACACATACACCCTTCCCTTGAAGACTGTTCTTTTTGTGTGTGATTTGAGACTGAACCAGGGATTTGCTCATGCTGTGCTGTCACTGAGCTGCATTCTAGACCTTCCTTACGTTTTGAAAATTTTATTACATTATATTTATTTTGTGTGAGAATAAATACACATGTACCAGAGTCTGTGTAAGGGTTCTCTCCTTCTACCATGTGTGTCCCAGAGTATGTTGAGGGCAGGTAGTGAGCAGGCAGCACATTAGGGTAATCTGGGACTGAGGAAATGGACCTGCCTCAGTCCTAGACTCCCCTACTCTGCTCAGAAATAGGAACATGGGACCACAGGGATGGCACCTGCCCCCTGTGGAGCCAGGAATGTGTGCAAACACATTGCAATATGAGACAAGAGGGATGACAGATATCCAGGGAGGTCACGTTGAGGCTGAGCAGCCCCAACCCTTAGGATTGAAGAAAAGTAGGCGTAAAAGACAGAAGGCTCTCCCACAGCTGCCATTTATGTAAGTTCATAGGTGACAGGGACTTAGAGTCATTTGACCCTGAAGCTAGAAGTAAGCTCCTAAAAGCAAGGGTGCTGGCAACAATAAGACAGGTGGCCAGCTGCTCCGGGCCAGGCCTCTGCAGTGCACTTACCCGTGGCCTGTCTTCCGGTGTCTGCTGATCTCCTTCTCACCCTCAATGATCCACTGCATGATCTTCTGGTTCTTCTCTGCATCCTCTGTGGTATTGGGTACCTCGGCACTGGCATTCTTCCCAGATTCAGCCTTCTTGGTGTTTCTTTTGGAGGGTGCACTAGCTTTACCACTATGAGATCAAGACATATGAGGTCACTCTGGCCTTCCTAGCTGTTCCCTAACCCTCAAGCCCAACAAGAGACCTGTAACCCACTGTGAAGGCAGTGGTCTCTGTGAAAGTCAGCTGTCTGAAGTTTGTTTTAATATGGTGGGAGAGTCATGCTGACCAGAGCCCAAGATAAACCCACAGCCCCTCCTCACCCAGTCATAGCAATGCTTGGAGCCTGTCTGGCCCCTGCCGCTAGTGTCATGTGACTTATATTGGGGAGGACCAGGTCATCATAGGGCCATAGCCCCTCTGGCCCATGACTTTGAAACAAAGATACATTGGAAAGGGCTGGGTCAAGACTCACCCAAAGGCCAAGTCCCCAGAACTGGGGGTAGTGCCTGTGCTCTCTGAATAGCTGCGGGGCTTGGCATGACCATGTGCTTCTGGGCCCCAAGAGAAGCTGCTCTGGACCCTGCGGGCAGCTTCAGCCTCCATTTGCTCCTTGGGTCTAGCTGAATTATGGTGAACATGGTGGTGGACGTGCCTATGGTGGTGCAGGCCAGCTGTATCCAGCTTCAACCCCAACTTAGGAACGTGCTTCCCATGCCCGGAGGCTACACCCCCTAGTACTGCAGTCTTGGCTACATGCCCACTGTCAGGAGAGCGGTGGCCTGGACCAGGTGACTGGCAGCCAGGTGTCCTCATGACCCTTTGCACATGCTCATCCAGGATGCTCTCAGGATTCTCCTCATGAGCATCCCGCAGTCCGGAGCAGCCCATATCCACATAGCGGGGTGGGAAATGGTGCCAGGCTGGGACAGAAGGCAGCTTGTGACTTGCCATGGGGCCAGAAGGCAGTTCACCATCCTCCCCTTCTTCTTCCTGTGGAGAAACAACAGCACTGTCAGAACAAGAATGAGGACAGACCTGGAAGTGAGCCACAGTCCTGACAGTCAAGCCAAGGACTTTCCTGACTACTGCAGTGTAGCCAAGTCAAGGAGAGGTGCTGACTCCTGGATACTCTGTGCTTGAATCTCAAAAGGTCCTGGGAACCTGAACGGATTCCATCAAACCTGTTCTTATCAGGCAGGGCAAAAACAGGCTGAGGGGATGAAGGATCTGGTGTCAGTTATAGCCACTGAGAAGGCTCTGCAATGGATTTAGTTTTATGTCTCTCAATAAAGGTTTTTGCGCTTGCTCTCACTCGCTCCTGCGCCCTCCCCCCCCCCCCCCTTTTTCAAAACAGGGTTTCTTTGTGCAGCCTTGGCTAGCCTGGAACTCACTATATAGATCAGGATGGACTCAATTCATAGAGATCCATCTGCCTCTGCCTGGGATCTCTGCTGGAATAAAAGGCATGCACTACCACTGTCCGCCATGTTTTCTCAGTTAATATTCTCCCTTTTGAGTTTCTTAAAATTACATTATTCATTCATTTGTTCATTTGTCTTGTGTGTTGCACTTGTAGAGTCAGAGTTGTGAAGTCAGTTCTTTCCTTCTACAATATGAGTCTAAAGGACAGAACTCAGGTCCTCAGCCTTGGCAGCAAGTGCCTTTAACCACTGAGTTATCTCACTGGCCCTGCTTCAGGTTTTGACGCCATATTCCCTAAGGTAGAAAAACGGAAGGGAAATTTATAAAACCATAGGACTACCTTGGGCCAAGACCCAGCTTTTCTTACTTTCTTTTGGTTTTCTGAGACAGGGTTTCTGTTTAGCCCTGGCTGTCCTGGAACTTGCTTTGTACACCTCTCCTCACAGAGACTCGCCTGCCTCTACCTCCTGAGTGCTGGGATTAAAGGCATGCACTGTCACACAAGGCCGACCCAGCTTGTCTTACCAGTTCCTCATATGTAGCAATTAAACTGTAGGGTTTGTGGTGAGCCTCTGTTTCTATCCCTTCCCCCTGCCAGCTGGGGTTACAGGCCTACGTAGACACCCAGCTTGTTCCAAGGATACTGGGATCTGAACGCCAGTCTTCATGAGTCTGCCCATTATTCCAGACCTTCTCAGAACTTCTATTTCCTCAGTTTTACAATTAAAAATAATTAAAAAAAAAATGGGTGATTAATCCTGTACAAAAAGGAGTAAAATCTACAGTAAATGTATCAATGCATACAAGCCACCAAATTCTATGTCTGTAGTTACATGGCCATCCACCCAACAGGAGGACAGCTCAGGACAGGCTGGCTAGAGCACAAATAAAGCTAGAGCATACATGGCAGCCCATCTGAGCTAGAGGCCCTCTAGCCACAGATTATTTTCTGAGCTGATATAAGAGAATCACTCACGGTTTTTCATTTAGTGTTCTCTGTTAAGTCAAAAAAATAATACCACTGTTCTCAGCCTTGGCACTGACCTAGTCTCTCTTCTTGAGAGCTGTGGATTATTTTAAAGTGTGTTACTTTTGTTTATGTTGTATTTGTTTAACTCTGTGAAGCTGTGTTACTTTGCCTGTTTAAAACATCTGATGGAGGCCGGGCGGTGGTGGCGCACGCCTTTAATCCCAGCACTTGGGAGGCAGAGCCAGGCGGATCTCTGTGAGTTCGAGGCCAGCCTGGGCTACCAAGTGAGTCCCAGGAAAGGCGCAAAGCTACACAGAGAAACCCTGCCTCGAAAAACCAAAAAAAAAAACATCTGATGGTCTAATAAAGAACTGAACAGCCAATGGCGAGGCAGGAGAAAGGATAGGTGGGGCTGGCTGGCAGAGAGAAATAATACAAGGAGAAATCTGAGAAGGAGTAGCCAGAGAAGGAGGAGGACATCAGAGGCCAGCCAACCAGCTACATAGCAAGCCACGGAGTAAGAAATAATGAAAGGTATACAGAAATAGAGAAAGGTAAAAGCCAAAAGCTAAATGGGATAATTTAAGTAAAGCTAGCTAGCAACAAGGCAAGCTAAGGCCAGACATTATTATTAAGAATAAGCCTCCGTGTGTGATTTACTTGGGAGCTGGGTGGCGGGCCTCCCCAAAAGAGCAAAAACAAACAACTTTGAGGAGCCCATTTTTCAGGCATTTGTGACATCCATAGCGACACCCTCAAGAGAGGCAGTAACTGAAACATTCTGCTACACAGATGAAGATGGTGATTTAGATCATAACAGGCAAATAAATTAGGACCTGAGAAAAGCTCCGTGTTTCATGTCAATATGGCTCCACATTTTTCTTAGATAAATACTATCAGAATGCTAAAGCTGTGTGGCCCAGAAGATGGTTGGCTTCAGTCTGCATAGTTTTACTGCCCACCAGATGCTTGACTAAACACCATGGGGTGCCCTATGCAACAAGGTGCCACTCTAGGTCACAGGAGGCCCATAGTGTGATGTCTCACTATAGTCCACCAGCGCTGCATGGTGGGTAATGCCACAATGCTGGCCATCACACAATGGCTAGCTGGTGGATGGCCATTCCAATACAGGAAAGGCTGCCTGCCAGTCTAACGACCATCTCTCCAGCGACCACAAGGGACAGGAGAGAATGCTGGTCTCAAGTGACAAAACAATTTGAGAGAGACAGACAGAATGTGTCTGTGTGTGTGTGTGTGTGTGTGTGTGTGTGTGTGTGTGTGTGTGTGTGTGCATAAGAGACCACTCATCTTAAAATATTTTCACACAAACTCCTTGGAAAGTTCCACTGTCTTTTTTTGGTTTTTGTTTTTTGAGACAAGGTTTCTCTGTGTATTTCTGGCTGTCCTGGATCTCACTCTGTACACCAGGCTGGCCCTGAACTCACAGAGATCCGCCTACCTCTGCCTCCTGAGTGCTGGGGTTAAAGGCATGTGCCACCACTGCCCAGCTGTTTTTTTTTTTTTAAAGACTTATTTATCTTTAGCCGGGTGGTAGTGGTGTACAACTTTAGTCCCAGAAGAGGCAGGCAGATCTCTGTGAGTTCGAGGCCAGGCTGGTCTACAGAATGAATTCCAGGATATCCAGGGCTACACAGAGAAACCATGTCTTGAAAAACAGACAGGCCGGGTGGTGGTGTTGCACGCCTTTAATCCCAGCACTCGGGAGGCAGAGGCAGGTGGATCTCTGAGTTTGAAGCCATCCTGGTCTACAGAGTGAGTTCCAGGAAAGGCTCCAAAGCTACACAGAGAGACCCTGTCTCAAAAAACCAAAAGAAGAAAGAAACAAAGGAAGGAAGGAAGGAAGGAAGGAAGGAAGGAAGGAAGGAAGGAAGGAAGGAAAGAGGGAAAACAAACAGACAAAAAAGAAAAAAAAAGATTTACTTATCTTTACTTTATGTGTAAGAGTATTTTGCCTGTATGTGTGTGTACCATGTGCATACCTAGTACCTGCAGAAGTCAGAAGAGAATGTCAGATGATTGTGAGCCACCATGTGGATTCTGAGAACCAAACCTAGTTGTCTACAAGAACAAGAGATACTCTTAACTGCTGAGTCATCTCTCTAGCCCCTACTTGTTTTTCATCTCAGCCTCCAGTCTGTAAAGATTATAGCTGGTACCACCATGAGCCCTGTGTCTAGAGTGGTATGTGGGCCCTGCTGCTAAGGATGGAGCCCTCAGACAATGCTCACAGTTCACCTAGGGTGCTTAAGAGGGAAAGGGTGGGCCTGGACTGGGGTTTTGAGTTTGAAGAGGGCTGGGTTCTTCCACATGTTAAATAAATAAAAGCATCAGGTAAATAACAGAGAAATAACTCCACAGAGGAACATTATACTCTTGAACTTCTGAGTATGAAAACTTATATAAATAAAAATGTTTGATCTTAGCCAGACAGTGGCACACACTTGTAAGTCAGCACCTGGGAGGCTGAAATAAGAGTATTGCTGCAAGAGACCATCCTGAGCTGCATAGTGAATACCAGGTCAGCCAAGCTACAGCAAAACCCTGTCATAGAAAGGAAAGAGGACGGGAGGGAGGGAGAGAAGGAGGAAGGGAGGGCTTGAATTTGCAAGTGTTAAACTGCTATCATAAAACACTGCAGAATGAAGGGCACACATATGAAGGCCATGGCTACATAAAGAAAGTCTTTCTATAGCAGTACAGAAAAAAAATGTACAAAGACAGTGGTTTCTCAGCCAGTTGGTGGTGGTAGTGTACACCTTTAATCCCAGCACTTGGGAGGCAGAGGCAGGTGGATCTCTGAGTTTGAAGCCATCCTGGTCTACAGAGTGAGTTCCAGGACAGCCAGGACTACCCAGAGAAACCCTGTCTCAAAAACACCAAACCAGCCAAACAAAACAGTGGTTTCTCAATGAACCAAAATGAGCTCTAAGGGAGCCACTATAGCTACTATAGTCTGCAGTGTTCCCTAAGTGAGTAGAAGCCTGACCTGCCGAGCCTTCCTACCATTGTGCCTTAGCTCAGTTCCTGCCACCTGTCAAGGTTAGCCACACAGCCATTTTGTCAGCTTCCTCTGAGGCATCTGCTGGCAGGAAAAGGGGATGCGGGATGCACTAGGCTCAGTTAGCAGCAAAATAGAGAGGAAGAAGGTACTGAACAGAAGGGCAGGTGGGACAGAAACACAGTGACAAGCAGGCCGAGTCAGAATGGAGGCTACCCTAAATGCAGGACTTTCATGCCACAGCAAACAGTGGCCTAGACATGGTCCTAGCATATAGTCAATCCACTTACCATCCGTACACGCTTCAGCCGTTCCTCCAGCTTCTCTTCAGCCTCTCGAGTGCGCTGGACAGCCTCTAGACGGTGAATAAGCTCTTCAGCAAATTTCTGTGGTTCTACCCGGATCTCCTTTGGCATTCGGTAAGTGCGCTGGAGAGAGACACATCAGTCAGTAGAGCTGCCTTCACAGGACATTCCTGCACCCTTTACGGAGCAGCATAGTGACAGCCTTCTAGTAAGAGGATGTGTACAGGAAACCTTGATCTTATTATTTTAAAGTTTTATACATTTGTTTGTTTGAGTCCGTGGGCACGCACACGGTGGATATGTGCACCATGGCACATATGTAAAGGTCAGAGGATAACTTGCAGGAGCTGGTTCTGTTCTCCCAGGTTAGGTTCTAGAGACAGAACGCAGGTCATCAAGTTTGGAGGCAGGTTTATTTATTCACTAAGTAACCTTGCTGGTTACATCTATTTTAAAGCAGGTGTTTATGGTTTCCTTTTAATGGGGGGACACTAGCAACCCATTGGCTCCCTTTTCTCCTTCACTGAGCACTGACTTGAAGATGTGGACTTCTCTCTAACCACTCACAACTGTATGACTGGAGGAGAGCTGGGCAGGGTCCTGGTATGCGCAGGATGTGGCGCCCCTGAGTGAACATGTGTACGTGCAACCAGACAGATGGTGGTCAGTACCTTGGCCAACATGCTCTACACTGAATACTCCCAACTCCCCCCCCCCCCCCCCCCCAAGACAAGTTTCTCTGTATAGTTTTGGTGCTGGTCCTGGATCTCACTCTGTAGACCAGGCTGACTTTGAACTCATAAAGACCTGTCTGGCTCTGCCTCCCAAGTGCTGGGACTAAAGGCATGCACCACCACTGCCTGGCCTACTCCCAACTTGTCAGAGAAACATTCATGACATAAGGTGGGGAATGCCTGAGGCTCAGTGCAAACAGCATTAGGAACAAAGAATCAAGAGTTGTAAGCACAGCACCAGTCACTAGAAACTCCTAGGATGGACTTGTGGTCCTGAAGTAGCCTAACCCACAGCATTCCCAAGGCTTACACCTGTTCGAGGCTCCTGGATAGAGCAGTGCCTGGTGCTGATGTATGGCTGAGCATAATCAGGGTAGGACTGTACTCAGGAGGGTTGGGACTCTAGGCTCTGTTACAGCAATGGAAGACACAAAATGCATGATATACAGAATAAACATGATTTTCCAACCATAGATGTATCTTTCCTAATGTGGGAATTGAAGGGTCAGTCAAAAAGTTAAAAGACTCCAACTAAGAAATTCTGATGAGGCTGGTCATGACAGTGCATACCTTTATCCAAGCAACCAGGAGGTAGAGACAGGTGGATCTATGTGAATTCAAGGTCACTCTGGTCTACACAGTGAGCTAAGGGTAAACCAGAGCTACATAGTTGCCATCTCAAAATAACAATAAAACAAATCAAAAGAAATGCTGATGCCTGTGTGATGTTCCCATCAGCACCCATCCTCCCTACACAGGCACGGGTGGAGGGTAGAGGACAACACAAGCTCCCCTAGAAGTCTTTCTGCCCAAAGCCTGTGTGCCAGAAGAAATGGTAACTGTTCGTGTGTCACCAGTGGTCACTGCACGTAGGGAGAGCTATGAATCCTTGCTCAAACATGGAGTCAACAAAACCTTGTATTCCAGGCTCAGGAATAGCTACTGTTATTACCCAAGAGGCAAAGTTGAGGCAGCTTCTGAGGCAAGATGGTCACATGGCAGCACCCATTGCTCAGCCACAAAAATGACAAGTTCCTTGAACCTCCTGAGTAGTAAAGTGTGTGGGTGGATAGCTAACCATACCCTAGGGTCAGGTGACTTGCAATGTCCAGAGCTGGTTCAAAGTCGAAATCCATCATCTCTGAACTACTTTCCATCAGGGAGAGCATATTACTTCACAGGGAAACCATGCAGTGAAGGGAGGGCGCTACTGAGCATAGGAAGCTTGGGAGCTATCCTAGACTATCTACTGCGATGGTTATCTCTTCCCCCAACATCACTCAGACTGTCTGCCGTGCCCAGTGGTAAGCTGTGGTCCGAGAAAGCCTACCAAAACGCCTCTCCCACTGATTGGTGCCATGGTGGCCAACTCTGTGTCAGAAACCAGTTAGGCACCTGGAGAGAAGGCACGGTGGGTGCTGCTGACTATGTGGTACTTACAGGAATGTGAGGTAGAGGCACCCGCCCGTTGACTTGGACACTCTCCTGCATCTCCCTCCGGTGCTGCTTACGGATCCTGTATGGAGGGATTCCATCCCTGAATAGACAAAAAGTATGGCCATGAGCTCATGCAGAAAATAAGGTCCAGCAGAACACCATACACTTATCAGCCCGTGGTCACTACTGATAGCAATGATACCCATATTGTATCATCTCATGTGCGGGTGTACATGGGACTACATATGCACAGGCACCAATTACTTACATGCACTTCATGACACACACACAAAACTCATATATGATAACAAAGCCCAGGATCTCAGCCATGGAATGTTCTTCCAGTTACTACTTATAAAACATTTCAACAAAGATCAGCTGCCCTTAATTTATGCATCACTGAGTCTACAAAGTCTGAAAGTTTGATCATTTTCACATTAGAAGAATTTTTATTACACACACACACACACACACACACACACACACCATGTATATAGTTTGTGCATGTATATGGATGAGTACATGTGTGGAGGTCAGAGGACAACTTCTACCACGTCAATTCTGGGGACTGAACTCAGGCCACTGTGAGTCTTTTAGAAGAGTGAAACAAACATGTAAGGCAAACTCAAACCAGCCTTTGGTAGCTATAAATCCAAGGACTAAGGTCACTAAAAGGCCAGGCTCTTTCTTGCTCATTTAAGATAGATGCCATATCCAACACCTTGTGAAACTGCCCAGCCTCCATCCCATGGTTCTGGAAGCTGCTCTAGGAATCAATCATGGCAGCAAATGGAACTAGCAACTGAGAAAAGACAGGCTGACTAATGAACGTGCTGGGTCCTCTCACTACAGCTATCTAGTTACATGAAAACAGGTGGGTAGGGGAACTGCAATCTCCATGCCGAATGGGATGGGTTTTTAAATTACCTTGCTAATCAGAGTCCACACAGTGCAATTAAGGTATGTGGTCTCTGTACCCTGCCCCTCTGGAGGAGATAGGAAGCACCAAGGACAGTGGAACCCCCACTGTCCTCCTTGGCAGGAGGAAAGACAGCCCCAATCAGGGGAGGATTGCCCTGGCAACCTGCCCAGGTGCGTGGTGTGCCTGGGCAAGAGGGTAGTATTACCGTGTTTTTCCTTTTATAAATGCAAAGGGGACATAGAGGATAGAGGAATGGGAGTTTAAAATTCATATGACTCGGATTCCCAGGCACTCAAGATAGTAGGTGGCCTAAAGCCAATAGCTGAAACATATTTTTTCTATACTTAGACAAACACTTTAAAATCCCCAGCCTCTGGGGCTTAGACTTGTCCCCAAAATCTACATTTAAGGATAGGTGGCATACTAGGAAACACCTTGTTGAACAGTTGTGTGATCCAACTGTGGCTCCAATGTGAGAAACTCGTGAGCTACACCAGCAGATACAGTGTGAAGCATCATTTCATTTTTTGCCTCAGATGTATGTTCAAATATATGTGGTAGTTTTGTATCCCAAATTCTTAAGTCTCCCAATCAAATCTAAGATGAACAGATTGTCAAGGAAAAACTGCCTATGCTTGGGGCTGTGGACATAGCTCAGTTGACAGAGTGTTTGCCTAGCATGTACAAAGCCATGGGTCTAAGCCCAGCACTGCATTAACTGGGTAGAGTGGTACATACCTATAACCTTGGCTAGCCTTGTTTACATGAGGCTCTATCTTACCCCTAAAACAAAACCATCTACATGTATTTTAAGTTTCTCTGTTTGGATAATGTGTCATTTTCTTAAGAAAATATTCAGAGGTTGCAGAGAAAGCTATGGTGGAGGTTAAGCCTCGTCAACTCTATGGGATGAGGAGGATCAGTGCTACAGAGACAGCCTGCTGTCTTCTTCTGACCAGGCTGTGACGACTGGCAACTACTCTGAAAATGAGAGGTCACAAAGAATTCTAGGAACTTTAAAAAAGTGTTGCTGAAAATGCCAACATTCAAAGATTCAAAATCAAAACAAGCCAAGTGTGGTGGCGCACGCCTTTAATCCTAGCACTAAGGAGGCAGAGGCAGGTGGATCTCTAAATTCAAAGCCAGCCTGGTCTATATAGTGAGTTCCAGGTCAGCAAGGGCTATAGAGTAAGACCCTGTCTCAAAATTAATTAATTAAAAGAGAACAAAATGAGACATCCCTCAGATATAACAAAACCCAAAGAGACAAAGGCCATCTGGTGTCACTACCACATGATTATTAGAGTAGAAAAATGAAAACAGCCCAACATATATGCCCCCACGGTACTGGCCAATTGGGTTCTGAGATGGCATGCTCTATTTTTAAAAGTCAAGTGCTGAAAGAATGTTTAAGGGCAGACAGATGAAAAGAACCAGCCACAAAACTGGTACAAGCTGGGGGTGGTGGCGCCCGCCTTTAATCCCAGCACTCAGGAGGCAGAGGCAGGCAGATCTTGGTGAGTTGAGGCCAGCCTGGTCTAGGGCCATATAGAAAGACCTTGTCTCCAAAAAACAAAACAAACAACAACAATAACAACAACAAAAACCAGGAACATAAAGAGGAACCATCCTCTAAAACTACGTTCAATTAAGTGTGGTGAGAGGGAAATGGAGGAGAGAGCTTGGCAAGTGCTTCAGCTGTGCTGACAGAGAAGCTGGTGTGGATATGGAAGGAGGGAACAGAATCAGGACGAAACACCTCAGTCCTGGACAAACGGGCTTCCAAAATCCTGTTCCTGCTGGCTGAATCTCTGGCTCTGTCCTTCTGACCTGGAGCTGCTGTACCTCTCAGCCTGACTGGTTAACTGAGATGTTAATTCGGCTTCTAGAGTGAGTTCTAAAAATTACTACAGACTTCTTGAATAAAGACAGACTTTCCAGCAGCAAAATTTCAAACCTCTAGCCTTTCCAATTTATTTATTGTTATTTTACATACATTGGTGTTTTGCCTGCATGTATATCTGTATGAGGATGCAGGATCCCCTGGAACTGGAGTTACAGACAGTTGTGAGCTGTCATGTGGGTGCTGGGAATTGAACCTGGGATCACTGGAAGAGGAGCTGGTGCTCTTAACCACTCAGCCATCTCTCCAGCCCCTAGCTTTATTTTCTTGTAAATGCTCTACCATCCTAAAATAGTATCATGTACTTCAAACTTTCTTTTTCCTAACACAGGGTTTCTCTGTGTAGCCCTGCCTCTGCCTCCCTAGTGCTGGGATTAAAGGCATGTACTACCACAGTCCCAGCTCAAATTTGTTTTTAATTGCTGAGTTAATTATCAATTAATATGACTGTAGCTAAACCATATTTTTTTTTAATAATGCCTGTAACAAATACTTTATCAAAGTCAGTGTGGAATTTACTCATTTAACAGGTATTAAGCCCCTTACTAATAGGCATGGTTTTGGACATAGCAGTGAACAATAATAGCAAAAAATCATTCTTTAATAAGCTTATTTTTTAAAAAATAAATAAGCTTACTTTTTAAAATACATGGTTGCTTTAAAAATATGTTACTTAAAAAGAATTTACATTCTAGGGTTGGTCAGCTAGCATGCAATTAGAAAGTTCACAGTCCCAAAGCAGCTATAATAAGTCTTTCAAAGCTATTTCTTGTAGCCTTAAGACTTTTACATAATCAGTAATTAGAAACTGGCTCCAGTGGGTGGCAGTGCACGCCTTTAATCCTAGCACTCAGGAGGGAGAGGCAGGCAGATCTCTGAGAGGTCAGACTGGTCTACAGAGTGAGGTTCTTAGGTGGGGATCTGAACTCAAGTTCCTTAAATGCTAAGCACTTTACACTGAGCCGGTTTAGTGGTGCCTATAAATACATTTTGACCTTGACTAAGTTCGTAAGTGTGAAGTGTTTACAGTTTTCACAAGTTCTGTTACACACACAGCCTGCACACCTGTTGTACTCCAAAGGGCCTCTAACCACTGAGCAATCTTACTGACACTAAACCTGGAGGTCACTGACCACTGAGCACCAGGGACTTTCCAATGCAAGATTATAGGCATACACTACCAAGCCCAGTTTTGTTTTGTCTTGTAAGTAGATGCTAGGGAATCATGTTGTTGTAGCAAACACTTTACAACTGAGCCAGCTCCCAAGCTCCCCACTTTCCCGATAGATCTAAACCACTGTTTTTTGTGTAGTTGTGTAGTTTTGCTTTTTACTTTCATTGATATAAGTTAGCACTTTTTAGAGAAACTTAGTAAGCACCACATCACATAATCTGGTTACAGTGTCATCTCATTCCTGTGTTCTAATCTAGATGCTTCAATCACTTTTTACTAAAAAAACAACAAAAAAAAAAATCTGTTTAAACAAATGCAGCACTATCTTGAAGACACAACTGTTAGCAGTTTACCAAATGGAATGGCTTAATTATAAAAGAGGATATTTTATATATTTTAGACAGTTCACATATATTGAGTAACACTGATACCAACAGGAGCCATTTTTTCACCCCGAGACAGGGTTTCTCTATGTTAGCTCTGGCTGTCCTGGAACTCACTCTGTAGATCAGGCTGGCCTCAAACTCACAGAGATCCACCTGCTTCTGCCTCCCAGGGGTTAGGATTAAAGGAGTGTGCCACTACACCTGGATGAAATAAATAAATTTTTTTTTTTTAAATTTTAAATAAGGAGGAGAGCAACAATAGAAAACATCCAGTATTGACCTCTGGCTTCTACACACACACACACACACACACACACACACACACACACACACACACACACACACGCCCCAGATCCACCAGTGGGGAGCACTCTCTTCCTCCTTCTTATTTACACCCACCAATTTCCCAGCTTTTCACTTTTCAACTTTTCAAAGAGACACACAGGCAAGGCAGAACTAGTGAGCTGGACCGAGAACCCTGCTGGGGACCCTGTGCAATCATGAAATAAGAGACTTACAGGGGCAATTAGAAGACTTGTCCTGGTTACTGGTAATGAGCAAAGACTTATTCTAACACTAGGCTGCTTTTAAAGGAAGCCCCAGGCATGGGGGTAAACTCAGACTAAGCATGACTGAGTCAGAACCAAAAAAAAACCCCAGGCTGGTCAATTCAACAAAATGTTTTATGCCATTCAATTACAATCATTTAATATGCACCTGAGTTCCAAAAGGCCACTGGCAGAAGGTGGTTCATGGACGGATCGACTCCCACAAGAGCTTCTAGGAATGTGATTACATCAAACAAAATAAGCTTCTAATTGAGATCACAGTATCAGGGAAGTGGAGGCTCAGATCTGCCTCCATGGCTTGGAATTTAGGCACTCAGGGAACTAACTGGTCTTAACACAGAACCCAGGCTCCGAGGCTCCCCAGGGATACTCATGATATATCAAGATTCTGTATTATAAAAAGGTTCAGGGCAGAACAACATGGGTAAGAAACACATTTATGCAGCCTGATGGACTGTCTCCAGACTGCCCCGGAGAGAAGACTCCCTGTCTGACTTCTCCTTGGGCCTGTCTTCCCAGTGAAACCCATTCTCTGTGGCTAGAAGAAAATGAACCTCCAGTTTCTGGCTGGCAGCTCTAACTTTTGAGTCCTCTACTCTCAAAAGCTGCAGGAGCTAACGCAAACTTCAACTCTAGCTTGGATTCTGTTCCAGGATTTTTAAACAATTTTCCTGTTGTGCTAGGGACTAAAACCAGGGCCTTCATTCAATTACACCTTGGCCCTTGGGCTAGGTTTTGAAGGATATCGTAACTCAAGGGCAGTCAGTCCTCTTTCTTTAGAGTTTCTGTTTTGACAGTCTCATTCTATAGACCAGGTTGGTGTGGTACTCACAGCAATTTATCTGCTTCAGTTTCGCAGGTGCTGGGCTTACAAATATATGCATGCTACCATGGCCAGCTTTGTGTTTGTTCCTTAGGACACTCAGGTCAAGCGTTAAGAGAATCAGCCAGTAAGGACCAGCAAAAAGCACCGAAGCATACAGACAGCAAGCATGGGACTTACACACTACTGTCCGTAAGGGATAGGGTGTCAGCATCACTGGACAGGCTCTGCTGTTCACTGTCATTGGCGCTGGTGGCTGGGGCCAGGGCATAGCCAGAGTTGACATAGTAAGGGTTGACGGGCTCCCTCCAAGATCCATACCTGTGAATAAGAAAAGCTCATGAGTGGCAGCAATATTCTCCTATTTTAATATACACTGTTAGTTATCTGGATAATCGCATGAGAAATTCAGAGAAAAACAGAGTAGAAAAGTCATGTGTCTCCATCTCCTTGCTCCTCTCCTTATTCCATTCTTCCCAGTTTGAAGGGAAAGGATTAAAGAGGGTCTAACCTCTGAGCATCTTTCCAGATGTTTCCTACTTTTTTGAAAGGCATTTAAGCATTATACATAGAGTATCATTTGGGAAGCAGACAATGCCCCATCTTTCTCCTGAAGAGCACCAACAGAAAGGATTCATGATCCTTGTTACAGCTACAAAGTAACCCACTTCTGGCCCAACCCAATAGGTATTTCTGGAGCAGCCAGCCAGAGCCACCAGGACTCTAACTCAGGTCCCTGGGCTCCAGGCATCATGATACCCCATGGACAGAACACACAGATGAAATCTGCTGCTGGGTAGGTATGGGGAGGTAGGTCAAAGCACCACTACTAGGAGTAACAGAGTCCAGTTGTTGTTATACAATTGGCCAAAAACCAAGATCCTTAATCTGTATTTTTTTCTAAGGGCACTTTCGGGAACTTATCCTTTGTTTTTCCCTTCATCTCTTTATAGCATTTGGTCCTTGTCTACTAGGTGATTATAAATTTACACAAGTTTCCAAATAAAAAAAAAAAAGTATTTTAGCTGGGCAGAGTGGCATGTGCCTTTAAGCCCAGAACTCGGGAGGCAGAGGTAGACTTCTTTGGAGCCAGCCTGGTCTACACAGTGAGCTTCTTGCCAGCCAGGGCTACAAAGAAAGACTGTTTCAAAAACAAAAGATTGCTGAGTGATGGTTGCACACCCCTTTTATCCTAGTACTTGGGAGGCAGAGACCGGTGGATCTCTATGAGTTTGAGGCCAGCCTGGTCTACAGAGCTAGTTCCAGAATAGCCAGGGCTACACAGAGAAACCCTGTTTCAAAAAACAGAAACAAACAAAAAATATTTATGTGTATGAGTGTTTGGCCTACATGCATGTAAGTGTACTATATGCATGCCTGGTGCCCATGGAAGCCAGAGGAGGACACTGGATCTCCTGGAGCTGGAGTTATAGACAGTTGTGAGTTGATGTTTAGGTGCTAGGATTGGAACCAGGGTCCTCTGCAATGGCAGCTAGTGCTCTAGTCCTCCAAATATTTTACTATTAATATACATATATATTAGTATCTATCTATATAATATATATTTATGCAAAATATTTTCTTCTTAAACATACTTTTTCTTTTTTCAAAAAATAATTTATTTTATGTGCACTGATGTTTTGCCTGCATGTATATCTGTGTGAGGATGTAGGATTCCCTGGAACTGGAGTTACAGACAATTGTGAGCTGCCATGTGGGTGCTGGGAATTGAACCCTCTGGAAGAAGAGCCAGTGTTCTTCACTGTTGAGACATCTCTTCAGCTCCAATATATGGTGATATTTTATTTGTACTGAAATGTGATTTTATTTGTTTGTTAATAAATAAAGTTGCCTGGGGGTCAGAGCTAATAGCAAGCCATAGCAGAGCTGGGCGTTCGTGGAGCACGCCTTTAATCCCAGCACAAGGCTTCACTTCAACTTGGTAGGCAGAGCTAGGTAGATCTCTGTGTCAAGGATATAGCCAGCATTGGAGACACTTGCCTTTAATCTCAATACCAACCATAGAAAACCTGGAGGTCTGTACAGACAGGCAGTGACGAGGCAGTCATGTGGTTGGGTTTACAACCAATAAGAAGGCAGAACAGAAAGTCTATATAAAGACAAACACACAGGAAGTAGGTCTCTCTTGGTTGAAGAGGATCGCTGAAGCAGGAAGGGTAAGGCTCTTAGCTCTGACCTCTTGGGCTTTTATCTTTACATTGGCTCTGTGTTTCTTATTTAATAAGACAGTTACTTCTACACCAATAAACTTTTTCTTACATTCAAGACCCTTTTTATTCTGATCCCTTGAACGCATGATCCTGCCTCAGTCTTCCTGAGTAGTTGGAATAGGACTGTACCACCATACCTGGTCCCTTATAACTTTTTGTATTGTGTACAGACAGACATTTTCATTTTAGGTTATAAACATTTTGTTCCATTAAAAAAATTTTTTTAGGCAGAGATTTAGCTCTGGCTGGTCTTGAACTTGCAGTGATCTCCCCTCTGCTTTCCCAAGTATAGGATTTATCCTAACCAGCTTCCATAATTTTCTGCTTGTGTTTTTTTGTTTGTTTTTTTTTTTCTGAGACGGGGTTTCTCTGTGTAGCTTTGCGCCTTTCCTGGAACTCGCTTTGTAGACCAAGCTGGACTTGAACTCACAGAGATCCACCTGCCTCTGCCTCACGAGTGCTGGGATTAAAGGAGTGCGCCACCACCGTCCGGCTCTGCCTGTGTTTTTTTTTTTTTTTTTTTGGTTTTTCGAGACAGGGTTTCTCTGTGTAGCTTTGCGCCTTTCCTGGAACTCACTTGGTAGTCCAGGCTGGCCTCGAACTCACAGAGATCCGCCTGGCTCTGCCTCCCGAGTGCTGGGATTAAAGGCGTGCGCCACCACCGCCCGGCTCTGCCTGTGTTTTAAGAAGAGTCTCACTATGTAGTTTAGGTTGGCCTCAAATTCATATTCCTACTGCCTTAGCGCCTCAAATGCTGGGATTACATCTATGTGTTACCACCCAGGCTTCAGTTGTATGTGTATCATGTGTGTGTGTATCTCATGTGTGTGTGTGTGTGTGTGTGTGTGTGTATCTGTGTTTACACATTTATGTAGGTGCAAGTGGAAAAGTGGAAGCCAGAGATCAACCTTGAGGGTGTTCTTCAGGAGACTATCCATCTTATTTTTGAGACAGGGTCTCTCACTGGGACCTGAGCCTTGATGATAAGGCTAGGCTAGCTAGTCAGCCAGTTCCAAGGATCCTGTCTCCAACTCCCCAGTGTTGATTATTACATCTGGCTTTTTATATGGGTGCTGGGAATCAAACTCAGGGCCTCAAACTTTCATGACAAGCTCCCTGGCTTCTAATAGTTGTTTTAATTTTTTGATCTTTATCTGAATTGGAAATATATACACACATAAAATCTAGCTGATCCCCTAACCCCACAATGGACAGCCAGTTGTTAGCACTAAACACTACATAATCGGTGGTTTAAATGCTACTCTTGGCCACATCCTAACCTCACTTTTAACACAGGGAATCTGGATTCTACACTGCTGTGCCGAGGGACAACCCTGTAGCGGTTGTACATCTGTAGCCATGATTCTTCTCCACCTGTGGGTGGTAATCCCTTTGGGGGTCAAATGACCCTTCCACAGGGGTCTTCCACCAGATATCCTGCATATCAGATATTTACGTTCAACTCTTAATAGTAGCAAAATTACAGTTATGAAGTAGCAATGAAAATAATTTTATGGATAGGGGTCACAACATGAGGAACTGTATTAAAGGATGGCAGCATTAGGAAGGTTGAGAACCTGGGTCTGTAGGGTCTCCTGCCAATTCTCTTCTCTAAAGACGGCACTCAGTTGAGCATGGTGGTGAATCCCTTTAACTTCAGCACTGGGGAGGCAAAGGTGAATTCGAGGTCTATACAGAGCTGTGGTTCTCACCTCCCTAATGTTGCAACCCTTTAATAAAGTTCCTCATGTTGTGGTAAACCCTAACCATAAAATTACTTTCACTGTTACTCACAACTGTAATTTTGCTACTGTTATGAATCGTAATGTAAATATTTTTGGAGACAGAAGTTTGTCAAATGGGTCGCAACCTACAGGTCGCAACCAGAGTGCCAGGCCAGCCAGTGCTTTACAGTGATGGCCCCCAATAGCACTACTCACAGCACCTAAAGTCAGTAATTTAGGAAATAACAAGGATGGGGCCATTTGAGAGGTTCAGCTGTTTGAACCCTGGATCGTAGGGCTAGAGCCCTTCCCATTGAGCAGTAAGCCGCAGACTGTGCTTGACTGCCAAGCACTCCGTACCATACACTTGGTGTAGGAGAAAGAAAACCAAAATCAATTCTAAGGAAAAGGCCTCCTTTTGGACATCCATGTACCAGGTGAACAGAAACTTATAGAAAATTCTAACTCCATCAACAAGATGTGACTGGGTGGGCATCTCAGAATCCCGAACTATTTCCCCCTATCAGCTGGGCCTGACAGTCAGCATTTGACCTTAAAAGGCACACCTTGATCCTTTGCCTTTGCACTTCAGAAGGCCCAGCATCTAAACTCAGGAAGGAAGGTGGCATTTTGTAAGAGCAGTGTATCCCTATACCCTTCTCATTACTGAGGTGCAAGGATACTGGGGGTGGGGGGGGACATGACACCACAGTGGTGGGAAAATGAAGCCATTGGTCAGAGAGCATTCTGACTACACACTGCAGCCCCATGTTATTTGTACTGGGCACTAATGGGTTATGGTTGGCCAGGGAAAGGCAAGACCAGCAACTTCAACCTGGGATGTATGCTAATTGCCAAGAGGCTGCCAGTTGCTTGAGAAACCAGCTCTTTGGAATCAGCACCAAGTATCTGTCATGATATCTGGATCAGTCCCTTACCCCCATGTGTGACTGTGGGTCAGTCTAAGACTTTATGCTCTTTGCTGAAGTGTGCAGAAACATTTTTTTCAAAACACTATTATCCTCCAAGTTTAAAGTCAGCACAGTTATGTCAACCAACACTGTCACTACCACACAACCACAGAAGTAGAACTTAGAATGTTGCTTAATACTAAATTATTCTTGAATCTGGCTATAACTACTAAGAATATTAAGCCACATGGTGGCACATGACTGTAATGCCAGCAAGTCAAGAAAAGGGTGATATAGGAGAATTACTACAAATTGAGGGAGGCCTGCATGGTCTATATTCAGAGTTCCAGGCTAGCCAGAACTATATAGTGAGACCCTGGTCTTTAAAAAAAGAAAAGTATGCAAGGCAGTGGTGGCACATGCCTTTAATCCCAGCACTTGGAGGCAAAGGCAAG